TATAAAAGCATTATCCATGTCTCATGATTATTTAAACAATAATTTACTCATTGACAAGCATACTTTGCATTCCATAATGTGCGAGGCGTATGTCATGCAAAGTGTGCTTTCGTTCATTATGAGCCACCGGGGAGTACATTATTATTATTTATTTGCATTGGCAATGCCAGTTAATTTTCATTAATTAATTTGGAAGAAACGACCGAAAACATTCAACAGAATCGCGTCTACATTATATGGGCCTTGTAATCTTTATACTGTATATAACGTCAACACGTTCACACAACGATTCCCATTCACACAAACAAGCACAATACAGTGTGCACTGTCATTTCAACATAACATGTATACAAGAAATAGACAAACTTGGAACTCCCTATCTTACATGATGTTAATTTTGCGATGATCAGTGAATCAGTGATGTGTTGATGGATTGAAGCTCGTAAACCAGACAGCGACAACTTGCTGTAATGCACCCCATCTTGCTTGCGAGCTGAACGATATAATTCCAGCAGCAATTTGGCCAGCAAGCTCAACGACAGGAAGGTCTTCAAAATTGGTGGCATAACACGTACTCCCCATTTAGTCTGGTGTTGAGTATTTTTTTAATTTCTTGCATTTTCAAGCACATTTAACTGAGATTCGTCCACATCGATAAAACGGGCCGTCGTGTTTGCCTTTGGCCAGACAACAATTTGTGTTTGTCATTATGGCGAGAATGACATTTTTTATGTAAACAAATAATTATTTTTCATATAGCTCAGTTTTCATTTTAATCGTTTTCACCCCATAATTTCCCTTATTATTAAATGCCCGTCTCTATATTTGTTTTCCAAACTCAACTTTCTATTCTTATACATGGTACGGGGCCTTGATGCTCAATAATGCAATACATTATCGCGAATAATCTGTGGCAATGACGTCATAAAATTCGCTGGTATTGACAATGCTATAATAATAAAATATATAGGACACTATCCATATTGACGTTACTTACTTTACTGTACAACACATCCAGCCAGTAATCAGCCACTTTAGCCACAGCACCATAGCACTCTTCCAGCACTGTGCCTTTAAGAAAAGCTTCAAACACGGATGACTGAAATATCTTGATTAGTTGAAGTTCTCCGTTACGTTTTACTTCAAAACCTTTCAATTCAGCCAAAGAACCATCAAAGTTGAACACAGCATATCTGAAAAATACAATTCATTGAAAATGACACAGTCCCTGTAAAATTTTTGAAAGTTCTCTTTATGCTCATCATATTAAAGCGGAGGTGTTGTCGCGAGCATGTCTTTGAAACTTGAGTCCCAAGTGGCGTAAACAACAGATGGTTTATTTACATCAAATTCGAACAACTAAACAGACGAGGAGTTTACTAGTGAACACCTGTTCCAACATGAAATACTAGGCACATGCAAAGAATGAACAGAATTATAAGTCACCGAATTGGGACTAATCCGTACATATCCGGGTAAGAGCCCATGCCTGGACAAACGCCCCCCCACACACTTTTGACACAATAAAGAAGTTAAGGTCATATCCGGGCACATGCCCAGGGGGTCTTATTCTACACAAAAAATAAGGTTGACTGTGGTTGTATTAACAGTTGACTTTCTTGAAGTCTGTCGTGATGCTTATAAAAATTCTTTAAATATAATTGTTAATTGCGTAAAACAAAGGGTGAACGCGAAATAGCTGTGACAGCTTTTTGCCTTAAAGACAGCACGTTCACCATTGATTTTTTTCAGAATCATAACAGTCAGCAAGTCTATAAAAATATATATTAAACTAGCAGAAACGGTAGTTCTCTTTTTGAAATATGTCATGGCCCTAAAAAGGGCCGGCCGTTTGGTTTGTGCTTCCTTAGAAACGATTCAAGCAAACCGTGTAAGGAGAGCCGCTAAGCAAGTGTCGCACTCGTTCGGCTTTAGCGTCGTCGGCAATGAAACGAATGTTGCAATATTGTAGCAACCTGTACCTGGGGGAATGGTTGAAATCAAGTTATTTGGGCTTTGTAAAATATTTGCTAGCAGCTTGCGAATCCATAACTGGGGCCAGCAATTTTGCAATGTCACGTCGAAGACTGCCATTTTTTTTACCATCTTTCATCATCGGTATTGCATTTCTGTCATGAAAACTATTCTTCTGTTGTTGGATAAAAAAATCACTTCGTATAGTGATACATTCCAACCGCCGGAACTTGCTGAATGATAACTTCCATCGTGATTGATAAGCGTTGAGTCTGATAAGAAAGCAATGTCACGATTTGACCTTTATGATGAAATACTAGTAGTGATGTCATTCTTAGCCAATCAGTAAAGCAGATGCATAAAGGTCAAAGATGATTGCCATACTGTAAACAAAAGCATCGTGTGCCATCGCAGCAGAGCAACCCCATTTCACTTGAAAAGTGCCAAGCTGACAGACTGCAAAATCCGTGGATTAAAAGTGCTAAGTACAAATTGTGTGGGACGATGTCGACGAACTTCAGGAAGAAGTTGTAGGGATTTTGTTAGACGGCTACAGTTACGCCGACTTGGACTTTGAGGGTTTTGAGTTTGACGAAGATGGCAATGAACGTACAAATAAATTTCTGAGAAGTTTTTTTAAACAGCTATGAATTTTTATAATTTTTACTGTGTAAATTTGATCTTGTGTGACAGTTGATTTGTAATTTGTCGAGACCGGAAATTATTTTTCGCAGTTTAACCCCTGACATTTTAATTCATTTTGAGTTCAAGCGTATTGGGCGCGTTTGTCGGCGAGAAAATTCTAATTCAAATGATTCCTCACTGTCGATTTTTATTATTTCTGGTTTATTTGTCACATTATAAGCAATACATTAATTTTGTTTTACTTCTGATGTTGCATATTGTTCATTTATTCCCGTTGCATCTTTTCATTTGCCGTTCTATTCCCTGTCGCAGTTCGATCTGCGTGTTGTCAATTTTCGTGAATTTTCGGGTTTTTTTGCCGGGGATCTCCTGGCAAACACCCACCCCTATTTTTTGGCAATTTTCCATGTTCAGGACCCTGGGCATATACCTGGATAAATTCTGTAACAAATAACATAGATTTTCAATTACATCCAAGTTCTATACCAAATGTTTAAATTAAAGAGGGAAGCGGTGCGCCCAACTATAAAAGTCATACAACCCAACAACATACCAAAAATTTAAAAAATTTTTAACTTTTAAATTATTTTTGAAAAACGGCCGGATTTTTAGAATACAAAATAACGATAAATTTTGGGCGAGTAGATTTTTTAGAGTAAAAATTCAACAAATATAAAAGTTGGGTTATATACAGTTGCAGAAATAGACAAAATATGTGAGCAATTCCTAGAGAGATCAAAATTTTGGAGGGCAATAAATTATAAAAATTTGCCAAATAATTAGGTCATTGGATTTTTAGAGTAGGTGAAATTTTGGAGTTTGTACGTTAATTATTTATTGAACCTAGAAATTCTGTTAGCCATACAGCAAATGTAGTTTTATAATGTCTTTTCAATCACTGTCAAAAAACACACCTCTTCTTCAATTTCTTGCCTTCTTCTTTAGATGCTGGTAAAATCATTGCAAGATATGGACCATCTACTTCAAAAAAGATAGAGTTCTCACTTCTAGCTATATACGTTAAATGACTTGGATCTACCAACTCCTGATATTGATCATTAGTGAAAATATCCTGCAATATAAAAAACATATTATACATCTAAGCGCCAAAAATAATTCACTGCACATTTGGTCAAAACATATTTTCAGTGTTCGACACTCAAGCTGGTCCTTCTATCCCAATACTAGTAAATTTCATTCAGGACCAGTAAAAATGCGTGGGTGGAAATCCGAAGGACTCTAGTTATTTTTACCCGTAAAACTCCCATGAACTCATTGCAATCCACTTGTAATTCAGAACTTGCGTACCGCTAGTTGTACACAAACATTATTACCATTTGTCATTGCATTTTAATTTGATAATACAATAGCTGTCATGAGTACAGTAACATGTCTCGGTACAGAGTACATATAATAGCGCTCTCATTTTCTCCATTGATGACTCGCTGTTTGAGAGTATTGCTATGTAAATATTTTCTTTCTTCAAGTCAAAATAATAAAGGCGAAAATAGACCACTCTTATGAAAAGTAGAAGGACCAGTAATTTTTTTGTGGTATAGTATTTTTCAGCTTCACTAGCCCTACTGGATAGTGATGAACTTTCTTAACTGTCTAACCCTGATTTGCATTCCAAATTTTCTTTATGTGTTGAACATTGACACGTTCTAGATTGTCAACATCACATTCACTCACTTTAGTTTGCTGACAACAGACGTGACTGTAATACGAATTTCACTTAATCTAAATTTCCATGCCAACCTGAACTTGATAAAAGGTTTGCATTTTGAATCTCTCACTAAATCATTATGATTTTATAATGTCCCCATACTTGTTTGTTTGGGATGGGTACTTTAAGTCAGGGTTTCAATTAAGTTGTCACTCTTTTTAGCACCTACAAGGTTACCACATTTCATTCTCATCGATAAGAAACCATCATTCCTAAGTATTAACATTACACCAAGTTACCAATATTCATTAGAACAAGCCATGCATGGCACAGTCCCTGTTAGTTATCAAATTTAAGATATACAGTTTTGTTTACAGTAATATAGCTGGAACATACAGATATCAGGAATATGATTATGATGATTGTTTAAAATGATTGACATTTGTATCTGATCGTCAAACGAGTATTAAGAGATATTGCTCTGGAACAGCATTAATTAAAACAAAATCAGTCATTTTGAATACATGTATAATGAATATATAAAATTTTAACATAATCAGTCAAAGCATGTCAGAGATATGGCACTAGAACCACATTCATATATTACGTAATGGCTGCCAGTCAGCCATTTTAAACCTTACATGTATCTGAAAAACAAAATGATGTGCATCAAGGTCCTATAATGTCCAATGTATATACATGTACAAGGTTTGAACAAAATCTGTAAATAGCCGAAAATTGCCACCATTCGGCAATTTTTGTAGGATCGTCAAACCAATATATCTGTATATCTATGACATGATGTATAATGCATATTTAAAATTTTAACATAATCAGTCAAAGCATGTCAGAAATATGACACTAGAACCACATTCATTAAAACAAAATGGCCACCAGTCGGCCATTTTGAATCTCATCTGAAAAACAAAATGATGTGCAACAAGGTCCTATAACGTCCAACGTATATACCAAGTTTGAACAAAATCCATCTGTAAACAGCCTAGAAATGCTCGATTTTGATGATTTTTTTAGCACAAAAATGGCCGCCATGCAGCCATCTTGAATCAGATCGTGAAACAAATTGATGTGCATATGTATAATGTATGTGTGAAGTTTTATTGTGATTGGTCCAGGCATTTCTAAGATACAGGTCTACACGGACGCACGGAGGTCAAAACATAAGTCCTCGCTTTCGAACTGCGTCCGAACGGGGACTAATTAGCAAGGTGACCACTTTATCAGCATTGGCAAGGTTACCACTTTTCATTAGCATTGGTAAGGTCACCACTATTCATTATTATTTTCTAACTATGTTATTACCAATTTCAGACACTGACCTTAACCATAATGTTCAACATAGCTCCAGGGTATGATATAGTGACCTTGGACTTCTTGGCATCTGTTGTTTTAATGACATAATTCTCAGGAAAACTTGCTGGTAAAACACACCAAATTCCATCAGTATCCAATTCCAATGGACGCCTAGAATATAGTTATAATTATACATTGAGAGGTCATGGAACAATGTATAATAAATAGGCCATTACTGATTTATGTAAAAATATGTTAATTTCAACTAGTTAGTCAATACAACTGTGAAGTAATTGCCTGTGTCCAGTTTTTTTTTACTTAAATTACATTGAGATACAATTGCAGTGCAATGTCTTACCCAATCTGTTCAACTATTTCTCTAGCTTTAGTTATAATATCAGCACCTGTATGACACACAATTCCTGCCATTTCCATTGAATACCAACGAGCACTGTAATTAAAATTAACAATTACAATTATGTGTGAAATATTCTGGTCCATTATTGAAGTAAATATTGCTAATGGGTTTTACACCTTTGTAAGTATAGGGAACCACTTAACTGCCTCTGCTGTTAATTCCTGGCATAGGTATGACAAAAGTCTACCCAGCAGTTTTTGTTTCAAACCCATCATCTCAAATAGAGGAATGACCATTTATTATTCAGAGGGGGTCAGCATATCTCCCAAAACCACAATGGGGGGGGGGGGGGGGGGTCAGTGACTTTTTTTATCAAGGGTGAATATTTTTTTATTAAAAATTGAGACACACTTTTTTTTACATTACGCCTTTTTTATTGAACAATAACAATACATGAAAATATATATCGAGAGGGGGGGTTACAAATTTTTTATTTTTTCTAAAGGGGCACCCTCTTTTACAAAATGAATAGGGGGGGTCCTCTGATTTTTTGGAAAAAGAATCCCCTCTAGGAATAATAAATGGTCATTCGCTAAGAGATGTTCATGTTCCTTCATTCATCTAATGATATTCTAAAATATCTACTTCTGTTGACCACAAATAAAGCCTCAAGGCTAGATTGTTGTCAATCAAAACTTTTTAGAATATCTGCACCAGCCATCAAGAATATCATCAAGTATTTAATAAAATTACTTTTAGAGTAGTGCTGACATTATATATGACTGATATATTGCCAGTTATTACTAAACTTTTAGAACATTATGTGGGAGTTACTAGTAAACACCTGTGCAAGGAACTGACAACACTACACAGGCACGAAGTTATTCTGTTTCAAAACTTTTTCTCTCACTTTGTCCACAGTTACACTTCCATCCCATTTAATTAAATAAAAATAAATATTACATTTAAGTCACTAAAACAACCAACCAAATCATGGGTGAAATGAGCACTGTTACAATAGTCCCCAATTTCGGACTTTGTCGAGGACAAGGACTAAAAATGGATATTACAAAGTATATTGCCCACCAAGTGAAAAATCACTTCCACAGCGTTCTTACATTTTTATTCCAGAAGTTTTATAACTTGATAAATTGAGTGATTTACACTGCTGAAAGTATTATTTACTGTGTATTTCAAAAATGTTTTCAAGCAAATGATATTTGTACAATGAATGTATGATATTGAGTAACGTATCACTTGTAATCCATGGAATAAAATATTGCATACTTCAAATACAAGTGTTGTTATTTTGTGGGAGAGCGGGAGTCAGAAGTAGGTTAGGTGTAGTTCGATATGATAAAATAAATAACACATGGTTATTCAAGCAATATCACGATTTGTTGACCATCGTCAAGATGTTGGTTATGTCCTTTGGCTCTGGCATCATCAATATAATGGTCATGACCACCATCCCTTGGGCAGGCAACAAATCCTGATATTGCCCTCAATTGTTATTATTTAAATACAGTAAAACCTGTCAAAACCGACCCCTGGATAAACCGACCTACTGTCAGAACCGACCGATTTATGTAGCCCCGAAATTTCTCCATAGACGCCTATGTTAAAACAACCTGTGAAATCCGACCACTGTTTACTCCGAACACCGACCGCATTGATCGGTCCCAAGTCCAATATTCACACTGAATACATAGCCCATCCGACCATTTGCACCACATCCGCTGTCTAGTAATTCGGTCTGAACGACCTAAAAAGTGTGCATTGTGTCCAAATTCCGCGAACGTCACAGAAACAATACCAAATCTCACACTACAAGTAACGTCCCGTGTAAAACAATGGCAACTGATTACATTTTTCACACCACACGCCCACGCATCGCGTGGTGTCTGGACAGTATAATGACCCCGGATATAAACAAATGATCGGGGTCATCACCTTCAATTGCGGTGAAGCACACTGCATTATCACTTCTTCAACGCTCAAAAGACATTGAGTTTTCTTCTTTCCATAACGATTCTGATCGACAATTTTGTGCTTTTGAATGTTTCCGTAAAGGGGGCTTCAAGATTGAAATTTATGATGACGAAGAAGCAGACGACAACAAAGAATTCGGAAACCTTATTTAGCAAGTTGCAGACCCGCAAACACAGTGTAGCGTTGTAGAATACCTCCACTTTGATGAACGTATACCGACTGAAGCAATGTATGACGGCGAGTGGGAGCAACAGATTGTTGAGAATTTTATTGCAGACAAAGAAAACCATGAATCTATAGACAACAATAACATAAATTGCAATGACAGTCAAATTATTGACCCCCACAACGACAGTGACTTGACGCATGGCGATGTGCTAGA